ATTATGCTGGAAGCTGCGAGAGGATGGGCGACACATATCTCTCACTCTTTACTGCACCCCCAGTGCCTGGCAGTTAGGGAACTATTACCAAGAATGAATTGTTATTCATTCTTAATTAGTAATTACCTAGTTAATCAATTACGCTGAGTGTCCGGAAAAAAAGGCCTGTTCTACTCTTCCACTGAGGACAGTGGGACCTCAGAAGATGGAACAGGGAAGCAAGAATAAAGGGGAGAAGCCAGCTGGGGAAAGAGGTAGAAACGGTGACTTAATTTAATTTCTGTTATTCCTTCTTCCTTCATTCATTCAATATATGTTAAGTGCCTACTGTGTGCCCTGGGGATACTACAGGTGGCTGATTCTTCTCTACCATCTTACCTTCTCTCCCCACTTCTGACACCCTCCCTCCAACATGAGGGGAAGAAACACCCCTGCGTTCTACGTCCCTGCAGGGCACACAGTGGATGCCTTCTGGATTTGATTTTCCCTGGGTTTCTGACAAAACACGCATGCACAGGGGTTTTCCTGATTTTTAGGGACCAGCACACACATGTGGCCCAGCTCCAGCCTTGGAGGGAGGAAGACAAGGGAGTCCCTGAATTCTCTACCACATCGAAGATGCCTCACAGCACCACCAGCAGCCCTGAGGGACCCAGACCTATGGGAAGCCAGCAGCCCACTGGCACTTGACCCAGCTCCGCTTGCCTAGCCTCTCCTCTCCATTTCCCGGGATAAAGAAAGCGAAGTTGGGCTGTGAAGCTGCCCTTGGGTGCTCATGGCAAAGGAGAACCTCTGCCCAATTCCTCCACACCAAGTCTTCCACCAGCTGCAGAGCAAATCATCTTTTAATTCTGAAACACCAAGTACTTAATTTATGTTCTACCTCAAATGTCAAGTCCACCTCCCGGCACATAGCTTTGAAACCACGTAAGGAGGCCTAACACTTTCCATATGGCGAAGACATAGGGCCTTTTAATTGTGCCAAGTGGTATCATTCAAGGGTAATTCCCCTGGAATTCAGCATTCGGGCAGCAGCTGGGCCAGCCTCCAATCTCATCACCCAGCCCCGCACATCCCCATGGGCTCCAATCAGGCCTGCACCTTCCTAATCTTCCCCAAATATCAAAATGTGCTAGGTGCCCCCTAATCAAATTACCAAACCGCCTGGCAGCCGCCTTTGATCTAGAGGCAGGCTTGCCTGGCCCGCAGCTCACAATGTATTTCTGCAGTCAGCTCTGCTATAAAAGAACAAAAGGGTGAAGCTGGTGTGGAGGTTAAACCTGCTTGTGCATATTCACACACGCAGACATGCACACATCGTGTGAGCAGTACAGAGGCACGGAAGTTCTGTGTCACCATACTGTCCTGTCCAACACCTGAGTTCATCCTGCTAGTCTATCATCTGTTAAACTTCTGTTTCACCCATGGCTTTTCCCAAACCCAGTATTTCCAATTGGTTTTCTTTTCCAACTGCCTACTGCTGCTGTGCATTTCCAACACACTCCATTATCTCTTTGAGATGATTATGCTTATTTTACTTTTAGTTCTGTGTACCACATGGTTCTCTGGCATGTGCGTGGCTCAGTCTATTGTTCCTCTTTCAGATCACTTGTATCCTGCCCATTTCCCCTAACTTTTCTCCAACGAGCTCATGTGCCCGTGGATTTTATCACAGTCATGGAAGGGGCAAAGCCCAGGCCTTAGCCTGGCTCCCTCCTAGTAAGCAGGATGGGTGGAGGCAGATAGCTGTGGTTTCATAATCACTTCTTATGCACCTCCATCTCCATTCAGGTTCTTTTTGAAGAGTTATCTGTTATAACTCTGCCAGGAATGAGAATAACACACCCATTCTGCAGAGAAGCTGATTAAGGTATACAAGGCCAAAATGGCTTGCACAAGATGACAAGCCACTGTAACCAAGACTGACCTCAGTGATTTCTGTAGTTAGGAGGGCAGGCTTAGGTTAGCAGCAGTGCGATTACCCTCTCATACCCCAGGACTGTGTACGCAATGAGAACACAACCTGAACATTCACGGAGCTCCTCAGACCCACAGGGGAAGCGGGCTGAACAGCGGCCCCTCCCGCCTCTGCCTGCACCACCATGGTTCATCTCCACATGCTCACCAGCCAGCTGGTGCCCCCCACCCAATGAGTCAATGCACACCCTCCCAGACCGTATTCTGGTGCAGAGCCTCCACGACTTCCTCTCTCCTAGAAAGTGCTCTAGGAAGGGAGAGAAACTCCGTCCACACCAGCTGGCAGGCAACTCCAGAGGGTTACGGGGAGATTAAGATAATGTAAGCAAAGTGCTTGACATACACAGGCACTTAATAAATAGTAGCTGTCACTGCAATAGTAATAACGTTAGTTGGATAAGCCACTAATGTGTCCCCAACCGCTTGGTGACAGGCCAGGTGGAGGAGAGACAGAGACCATCGCGGAGACAGGCTGGAGCTGGCTGATGGACACTGCCAGCCCTGGAAGCCGGCAGACTTTGGAGCCCACACCCTCCTACATGCTGATGATATCACAGGAGAACCTGCCAGCCACCCCTCCAGTGCTGGTGACACTCAGGAAATGAAACAGGCCTGAGGAGAGTCCATTGCCCCTCCGTGTCCCCAAATTTGGACACCCTGTCTCACACTCACAGTGCTGATCACTTGTACCCAGTATTTTTCTCTGAATCAACTTTACACTATATCTCTTTTAACTTCGCTTCATCCTAAGCAATCATATCTATGAAATCACGAGTTTGACTGCCTAGTTATTTTTTTCTGATTAAAAAAATAGGTAGCTATTAAGATTTAAAATATTCCTCCAGGCACCACCTAAAACTGCCTTACAGGCTCCCTACAGGGCTGCCCCACACCTTGGGCTCACCACGACCATCTCCCAGGGTAGCCTGATCTTCCCCACCGCTGCAGACTCGGGAGCTGAGCCGTCTGGACCAACGCAGGTGAGAAGCCAGGCATTCAGGCCCAGCCACTAAGAATAACTCCCAAGGAGGCAGAGCCCCCCGCCCTTAACGTCTTTGATGGCTGGGCCCACCCTCCAGCCACCCAACACATGTCATGCCGATGGCTCTATGCCTCACATCTTCAAAAGTACTTTGAACAAATATTAATGACCCCTCAGCGTTTCTCCGAAAGAGGGGGCAAGGGAGGAAGGGGGACAAGCACCACCATCCCATGCTGTCCTCAGCTGGAGGAAGAAACCAGGCAACAAAATTCCATGACTTCACCAAAGCCACAGACTGAAGCTGGGGCCCCCTCCCCACCCTCCTTCATTTCCCCCAATGGCAACTTTTACTGGCTTGCATTCCTCTTGCTGGGAACACTACTATTTAATTAAAAACGACAGACTTTTGTTTTCCTCTCCTTCTTTCCTCCCCCCACCCCATCCTCTCAGACTGGATGCCAAGGAGACCCACCAAAAACATGCGGGTAACATTTGTTATGGCTTTGAAGATAAAAGTCAATTGAAGTAAGCCCTCGCTGTATTTCAAGTTTCCCCTCTAGCATGGAGCAAAGCTGCCTGGCAGTTTAGGAAAGAAGACGAAGAAAAAAAAAGGAGGGACTGCAAATAAATGTCATTCTGCAGGAATACTTTGTAAAAATAAACAGGCTGAAAAAACCCAAAACTTGATTAATGGAAATCCACTCAGTTGGCCTCTGTCTTGAGCTGCAAATGCATTTGTTCATATGGCTAAACTGGATCATTTTCAGTGGCCTTTAAATAAATAAGTGGATGAAAAACTAGAGATGGTGGGGGAAGAAAGAGAAGTTTGTAGTTCTCTTGTTAAAGGGCTGGACTGCAGTGCTCCCCACCCACCAAGGCTTGACCTTCGCTAGGGACTCGCAGCTCCAATTCCAACCCAGGCAAGAGAGCTGGAGAAGAGAAAGCCCCCAGCCAGGCAATGGAGGGGGAGGAAGAAGAGAAGGAAGAGGAGAAAGGGGCGGAGGAGGAGGAGGACACTTCTCCAGGATACAGAGGATACTGCACAAGTGGACAGGCCCACCTCCCAGCACAGGTCCCTGCAACCCAGCTGCCAGGACCCATCACCCAAACCCACACATAGCTAAGTCTCCACCAGGCTCTCCCCAGCCATGGGTAGGACCAGAGAACTAACCGGACCTGAGACTCAGTCTGTTCCCCTCTAAGTTAAAAAAAAAAAAAGAAAAAAATTAAATGTCACATCAAAAAGTTGATTCATCCTTTGATCCTCGGCTTTCGAGAGTTCCACGCAGACCATCTGAAAGCCCCGTGCAGAGCTGTGGAGCTCACAGGACATCTGTGAACACCAGTCCCAGGCCAGGAGCTGGGGCTGCACTCACTCATTCCCCTGTCACACTCACGGCTCCTCTAGGAACAACTCCAACCTCAGGAACCTGCTTGCTGAAGGCAAAGCTCGCACCTGGGCTATGGTAGACCGAGGCCCTTTCTCTCCTGCAGGCCATGCTAAGGACTCTGCTGGGTCTCTGTGCCCCCTTGCTCTCCACTCTGATGGCAGATGGCACTGATGAAAGCCACAGGCACACACTGGGGTGTGGGGGTGGCCACAGAATCTTGGCTAGCACAGCCCTGCCTTCCACCAAGACATCCCTACCACCTGCCCTATCTCCCTAGACCCAATAATTCCAATTCCTCCCCACCCTGTGGAGGGGGCTGAATGCTGGCCACAGATACTGTGTGGAAGTCAGAGCAGGCCCCCAAATCCCACCAGCAATCCTTCCCCATCAGCTGGACCTGTGGCACCTCCTCACCTAGGACTTCCTCCCCAGGAAGCCCTCTGTCCGCAACTGGACAGGACACAGGTGTCTGACTGACCCCCAAGGTTCCCCAAAGCAGGAAGACACAGGGTCATACTGGCAGGGCAAGGGCAGCTGAGAAGGATTTTGGGACCTAAGCGCTGTGTGAAGAGGGTGCTAACAGTTGGGGTGTGGAGACCTATCTCTGAGACTTAAAAGAGTGAGGGGGTGGGGCAGGGTGGGGACCGTACCCGGGTGCCTCGACCAACGGTGCCTGCCAACCGCAGCTGCCGGGGTCCCGAGAGGCCGCTGGGGCAGCGCTGCCTCCCGATCCACTCTTCGATGCCTTTCCGAGCCCAGGCAGCGCTCACCGCGAAGCTGTCACCTGGGGCAGGACGACAAGGGGCCCCTGAGTATGGGCACCCCGCCAGTCCGCCTGAGGAAAGTTACCCCAGAGGAGGGAAGGAGTGGGCGCGGCAGAGAGCCAAGCAAAAGCACTCAGAAATCCACGGGGTTCAAGAGCTGGGGTAACTCCATGAGAGCGTGTTCACAGAAACCTCAAGAACATGGATCAAAAGAGGGGTGAGAGAGAAAGGAGGAGGGGTCCGGGGATCAGAAGAGGGAACACGAGAGGCCCCAACTGCAGAAAAGAGGGCTGAGGTCAGGAGAGGGGGTTCCGTGGGCACGGGAACCCAGATCCCGGGAGAAGGGGCTGGGGCCAGAGAGAGGCGGGCAGAGTCTTGGGGTAAAGGACTTGGGGGTGTGATGAGCTGGCGCAGAGGCGGGACGCAGGAGGGGGAGGGGGTTAGGGTCAGAAGTGGGAGCGCAGGACCGCGAGGAGCGGGAGGAGGCTCGCAGGAGGGGCAAGGACCGCTCCGGCAGCGGGTTTGGGGGTCTGGTCCCGGGAGTTGGGGTTGGAGTGGTCCCGGTAGCTAAACCCGGCGGCTGGGCCCCTCGGCCGCCGCCCGGGTGCCTCCCCATCCTTCCCCAGCGGCCCCGCGCGTCCCTACCTTCCGGGCTCTCCCTGCGCTTGCACACGGCGGCTGCAGGCACATCGCGCGCGGCGGCGGCGGCGGCGGCGGCGGCGGCGGGAGCCGGAAAGAAAGGAGAGGGAGAGAGTTAGCGATGCGGTGCGGGGACGCGGGGCCGGGGTCGCGGCGCGCGCGGCGGGGGCACTGACCCGGCTTGGAGTGAAGTTTCCCCATGCTGGGGGCGCGGCGGGCGGGGACGTCCCTAAGCCATGCGCCCAGCCCGCGGGCCCTGCGCCTTGCTTCGCTCTCCTCTTCCCGGAGCAGCCCGGGAACCGAGCAACCCCGAGGCGGCGCCGGG